TATTAAATTGATACATACATATGAATACATATATGGTCGAATAAAAGTTTATAAGTATTTCTATATATGTTTTTGACTTGCACCTTGTCATGTATGTTCCAGACATTAATCTCTCCGGATAATTTCAATCGAAATTTCTGGAAAAAGTTATGTACAGCTAGTTACATGTGCATTCATTGCCGATTGGTATGTGTGGATAAGTGATAACTTGCATATCTACGAATGCGTAAACGTACGAACATGCATATTTACATATGAATATTTTCGTATAAAATTTGTTCAAGTTCTTTAACCTGTGTATCTCTCTGGAGATTGGTTTTGTGTATGTTCTGTTGTGTTTGCATTCGGAAATTGGTATGAAAATAATATCGATGTAGTGGCGATAGTATTGTCCCACCAATTTGATATGGTTCGAAGCCTCTTTCCCATGTGCTCTACCCACTTCTCTCCTGCCGATATATATATTGTACATCCGACCCGCAGTTACAAATCACGCTTAGGATTCATGGTTGAGTTGTCAATCCTAATTATAGTGTTTATCTTACACATACCCCACAGTTACAAAAGTCACATCGTGGTGTTGAGCACATGCGCGAGGAACAAATCACTCTGATTGAACTAGCTCGCAAGGATATACCTTTTGCCATTAAAACCATTGGGGCGTTCAAGGATGGAGATAAACTATATTTCATTATGGAGGAGGCCCAGGGGGGTGGTCTGTTTGATATACTAAGGCATGCGAAAGACCATCACTTCACAGAGAAGGTGGCTAAGTTCTACGCCGCCGAGTGTCTGATATTCCTCAAATACTTGCATCAGCAGGCACACGTGGTGTACAGGGACTTAAAACCGGTATGAATCGGTCTATTGTCAGGCACATTGGTATATGATGTCTTTCCGCTAGCTTCCGTGGGGTTTGCATGATCTGTTCTCGGAGGTCGTTTGCTGATTGTCGCGGATACTTACAATCGCTGTGGTTGCGTGAGACGTTGGCTTGGTGTGTTTGTCAAGTGTTTTCGACTTGTCGCAGCTTCTCACATTCAAGGCGAGTGTCTTGTTGTCGAATTGCTTGTGGACGTTATACATGTGCATCATATGCCTACATAAAATTGACGGGGTTGTCATGGAGAATCTCGAGCTCAGTTGGAACGATTATTGAGTACATAGCTTCTACGGTGCTTAGTAAAATATAGAGGCTCTGGAGAATTTTTTGGACGTGTGTTGAGGCTTTATTAATGTGTAAGAGTTACTGCACATCACTGTTTTAATAAAGGCAAGATATTGAAATATCTACACCCTTAAATCTCATACCATCAAGGCCTGGGTACGTAACTTCAATAATTGTTTGTCATTATAGTTATAAATATGGATCACACTGTATATTTCAGGAAAATCTTATGGTGGATAGGGAAGGACATCTGGTGATCATAGATTTCGGACTGTGCAAACATCTGGAGGATGGCGAGAGGTACGCATGTGCATGTATATTTAGTACTGCGACGGGCATGTTTGTCACAAGCCGCTGCACCTGTTGGTGTTTCCGCGGCTATCTCCTCAGATTTGGAACCCCAAGACTGTTGCCCTTTTAATGTATTCTCTCAGTCTACATGTGGCGTGGTGGTACATGCGTTGTGCATACAATTGCGCCCAGCAGACAGCATGAGAGGTAGATGTTGCGCAAAGCAGATGAGACTATCAGTTTGGGTTTGCGCTAAGTAGGTGTTGCGGCATGTATGTGTGTGGTGTTGACAGATCTACGCTCTTCGTTAGAGACGTTCCTTTATAACAGCGGATGTACTCCAGATGAGCAGAAGATATCTGGTCTGAGTTCTATTGTCTCGTCGATGGGAGTCATGCTATTGGGGATGTTCGACGATAGACCATTATCTGCAATTCTATGCCCATGGCTAATATTGTGAGCATCATGTTGTACTGGCGTATGTAACCCGCTTGCATCACAACAAGTCGATCGGTACTACGTGATACTTTTTCCCAGCCAATATCTCTACTACCACTGGATGCAAGTCCATACACACAAACGTGTACTGATTACAGGCTTACACTTGCACCTCATGCAATAGAACGATGTCCTTCGTTGGCACGCCCGATTACATGGCCCCGGAGATAATTAAAGGCTCACCTTATTCGTTCGAGGTGGACTTCTGGAGTTTTGGATGTCTCATTTTCGAGATGATAAACGGTGAGTAGTATTTGGCACTGATTGCTCCAGATCATTTATTTTGCCACACGTTTGCTTTGTGTACAAACCCCTTCGTAGCAATGGAGGTTTGCTTTGTGTACAAACCCCTTCGTAGCAATGTACAACAAGCGTTTTGCAACATATTAAGAATTAGATATCTTTTCAAGTGAACCTACCTTATTGTTTTCTTCTCAGGCGAATCATATTGGTATTTTCCCAAGTATATCTTATTGTTATCTTCGCAAGTGAATTTTATTGGTATCTTCAGTGAAATTTTTTGGTATATTCACAAGTGAACCTACCTTATTGTTACTCTCCCAAGTAAGTCGTATTGTTATCCTCCCAAGTGTACCTTATGGTATCTTTTCAAGTGTTTCTACCTATATTGTTTTCCTCCAAGTGAATCGTATTGATATCTTTCCAAGTCAATCGTAATGATATCTTTCCAAGTGAATCGTATTGGTATAATTCCAAGTGAATGTTGTTGCTTTAATCCCAAGTGAACCTTATTGCCAAGTATACCTTATTGGTCCCAAGATAACCTTGTCAGTATCTTCCCAAGCGAGTCTGCTTTATTGTTATCCTCCCAAATAAATTCTATTGGTGCCTTCGCAAATACATTCTATTAGCTTCTTTCCAAGTGAACCTCATTGGTTTTTTTCCGAGTAAATGTTGTAGGTATCTCACCAAGTGAACCTTATTGCCATTTTTCCAAGAAAATATTATTGGTTTCTTCCCAAGTGAACCTTATTGGTACCTTTTCAAGCAAGTGAACCTACCTTCTTGGTATCTTCCCAAGGGAATCGTATTCGTATCGTTCCAAATGAATCGTACTGGTATCTTTCCAAATGAAAGTTATTGGTTGGTATCTTCCTAAGGCAAAATCTTAATCGTATCTTTCCAAGTGAACCTTGTAGATACCGTTCCAAGCGAATCTTGTTAGTGTCTTTCCAAGTGAACATTGTAGGTATCTTTCTATCTTTGTATGCTCTGCATGCTTGATGGTGATATATTTGCATGATAGATTCTATCATGCTGCTTACTCAAATGTATCGGGACTCTCATACAATTATGTTGTTTTGCTGCATCACGCTTTATACCTTATATGAGAAGTAGATATTCGACCACTCATTGTTATATCGATCCTTGCATGTCATGTTATCAGGGTATCATCCTTATCGTAAGTATGTTTACACGTACATGATGGAAGGGAATCGGTGTTGGGTATGCGAGCTCTTGCTTCTGATATAGCTCTAGAATTTAGTTACTCGAGGTAGTTTGCGACGTATATGGGTGGTATGTACCTAAGAAGAGTGTTCGCTATTCACAAGGAACTGAGTTGTAGTTACTCGATGTAGGTCGCGAACTGTATAGACGTATATGGGTGGTATGCACCTAGGAAGAGTCTTCGCTAATCACAAGGAACTAAGTTGTACCATGCGAAGCATATGCAGAGTATACAACTCTATGTGTACATATATGTATCTTGTGTACATATGTCCCTCAGGATCGTGTCGAAGAGCATATACAATGAGGCTTGAGAGATTCCCGGGTTAAACCCACTCTGTCGCTATTGCCAGCCGCACATACTCGTGCCTACCCAAATCGTTGTGCGCGAATATAGTTCTAACACCTCAAGGCCATAACTTTGTTCCACGCCAGGTTATTCGCCGTTCGAGACCAAAGACGAACAAGGTAACCTCACATTCACGAATATCATGAAACACTCCAATGAGCCCAGGAGGCATAGACACGGCGTCAGCCCAGAAGCACGCATGCTCATAGATCACCTGCTCCAAGCCAACAGACAGTATGTGACTAACACTCGTGTCTTCTTCGGAGATGCGTTGAGTTCCCGCCATTTTGAGTTGCTCTTGTTATTTGCATAAGGATTAGTTGGCCTCGATTGTACCATATGTATTGCGAACAGTTGCACAACAGCTTAGCACTAGTATGTGGCTGTGTCAAGAAAGGTGTTTTGTATGTGAACATGCGGATAGTGTTCATCTTGCAGATATGTATAGGATGTATGTCAGACCACCGTATCCCACCACCCACCACCATGTAAGATAATCCCTTGGACCTATACATATGTAAAATTACAGCGGCCATATATTTTAATACATTCTAGAGATATGCATGTGCGTGATTAAATATAATTCTGTATACAATTGATAAGCGTGTGCACGTGTATATAGTCGTATGCTGCAGAACAAATGAGTACGCACGTACTATTGCTTTTCGATGATTTATCGCGCGCCATTGTATTCCCACAAATTTTATATTCTAATTTTCTGTGTTAAAAAATCTACAAATATATTAAGGGTTCAAGTTGTGCAATAATCTTTGTAAAAATTTCATGAAGCAAAACAAGAAGACTGTTTACGAAGCAAAGTATGTATGCTGGAGTGCACCGGCCTGTATGCGTATAAATGCTTCCTTGTACCTGGGAAGGGACTGATCGAAAACAAAATTTATTTGCGTGTGACAGGCATTTCTTGTAGGCGGGCTTCAATTCCAAGTATCTTTGTTCGAATGAGCCATCTAATGGGGCTTGCTGAGGTCAATGCACAAACACAAGCTGAAAAACAAGTATAGAAGCTGTTATATTCACGCACGTACAAGCAGTAGCATTTTTTACCTCTTCAGTGTAGCAAAGCAAAATTCTGCTTCAAACTGACGTTTGCGCAACAACTGGGGACAGTTAGGTTTGCACATATCTAATATGTGCCTAATACTCATTCCCGTTATTTACTCAAACATAAGGTCCCGGTTAGGCCGCCACCGGGGCTGGACCGCCGTGCAGGCGCACCCTTGGTTTCAGAATGTTGATTGGAAGTGTTGTGCAGAAAAGAGACTCAAGCCACCGAAGGTACCCAAATTCAGACAGAAAGTCATGGAAAACCAGCCGAGTGTGGACAGTGTAGGCCTGGAGGGCCAGGAGATTAAAGATGCGGTGTGTGTCTCTTATGTACCGCAGAGTTATCTATGCCTTTGCTTTTGCTTTCTCGCTGTGCGTGGTTGCAGTGCACATTAACTTGGACTGATAGAACATCCGGTTGTATGGCGGTACGCGTACTTGTGGCCTGCAGCTCGCCTACTTTGAAGTATGAGATTCCATAGGCAATTAGCTCTATTCAGTGTTGCAGTTAGGCTGAATTTAGTAGTCACTCGCTCACATTTCGCACATGTCGTAGGTCATACTGCTATGTTCGAGTTCTGAGGGCCATACTGATCTGTGTTTTAGATTGCAGTTTATTGGGCTGTGAAATTCGGAGGGTCTGCAATGCAATTTACTTATGCTCCACCCCATCTCTAATTATACGCATACAGTTTGAATCATTCGATTGCGTTGTGCGCGCGGAACCTCAAACTCCGACGAGTAAATTGGGGAAACAGCCCATTTTCTCGGTGAGTTTCGTGGAGGAAAAAAATGTCGTCAACGTGAACAAGGATGACGACCTGGTGCACTTGATTCAAGAGGCACGGCTAGAGGAGTCCCACAGCAAGGAGTGCAGCAGCCAATTACCGAATGCGAAAGACAGTAGTACTTCTCCAGCGAGATCCCCGCCAATAGCGGACCAGTCGAGCTCGGAGAATGTGTTGTTGGACGTGTCGCAGGTGCTGCATGTGACAGGTAAACCTGGGCATGCAGGCCAGGATAGCACCACCCATAAGGGAAAAAAAAAAAGGTGCTTCCTGATCCAACCAGAGTCCTGTGTCAAATTGAGCTGATTAAAACAAATAATCAACCATGTTGGTTGTGACCTTGGCTTGCATTTTCGCTCTATGGGGGCTTGGGAGTTGTTTTTGTATCACACAGTTGATACTTCCCACTTGAATCCCAGTTGCAACTTCTCTAGTTTCGTCCCATTTCTTCATCCGTTGCTTACTCTGCGTCAAATATAATTTGCTAGTGCCGGAGTGTGCTGACACCCATGTGCACACGTCGAATATTATATTTGAATAGGAGCTGTGTGTATGAATGCCCTGTCTTTTTCTGTCACTGAAATGCGAAAGGAAATAGTACGCGCGAACGTTATCTGACCACTGATATTGGTTTCATTTCAAATATTTATGTTCCTCTATTTGATGTCGTGTGTAATATACATCAAGTAATATTTATGTTCCTCTATGCTATTGATGTCGTGTGTAATATATGTTTAAGATGGGCGTTAAGCGAGAGATCAAATATTTGTATAAACTCTATAGACATCGAAGGGAAGTTGTCGCATATTCGAGAAATCTGTACCGGACTGGTCCTCGTCATAGAAGTAAATAAG